AACCTTTCCCCTCCCCCTCCTACCTGGGGCACCTGGACACAGTCACTCGAGGGAGTGACACGTGTGACTCAGCAGGCAGTGTATAACTGACGTCAAAATGTTTCAAATCGATGCCCCACCATTTAATCATATGTGCGTAACCCTTCTTAATCTTGGACAAATCCCCTCACGCTTAGTACCTTCCAGAAGGTTTTCACCCGTGTCCCATTCCTGGCTTGGCATGGACTGCATCAGCTGCCCGCCTCAAACTCTTCAATGGTTTCCATCTGCACCTGGAGTGGGATTCAGTCTTTACCAATCAGCCGGGTCCCGTGTGCCGAGGCCTCTGCCTGATTCTCCAGACTCGCGCAGCCCCTGCCTCCCCTTCGCCCAGGCTGCTTCTGCCACATGGGCTTTCCTTCAGTTCCTAAACACCGCCAACTGCTCTCTCACCTCGGTCTTCCCACAGCCTAAGTCTGCTCCAGGTCTGTGCCCCTCACATGCCCTCACCCCACTCATTCTACCAGTCTCTTCCTTCTTCCTAGGCGCTTTCTCTGATTCCCCAGTTTAAACTCCCTGGCCTATTGCACTTTGATTGCACCTGGCACTTTTCCTTCCGATCGCCCGCGAGAGTGTGTAGTCACGCATTTATCAGCCTTGTTGTCGATGCGTTGTCTGCCTCCACCCAGCTCTTTGGGAGCAGAGGCCAGTTCGAGTTGCTTACCGCTGTATCTCCAGCGCCAAGCACACACTGCCTGCTCACAGAAGGCATCCTACAAATATTAGTTCAAAATATAGACTGAAGTGGTTAGAAAGGGTATCAGGAATGATAGAGAACTTAGCTGGGCCTTGAAGGGTGAGGACATACTACATTCTCAAAGGCAGGGGTGATATTCAAATACTTGGTCAAAGGACACAAACTTTCAGTTATAAGATGAGTAATTCTGAGGATCTAATGTCAGGGTGATGACTTAGTTAATATCGGGCTGTACACTTGCAATTTGTCAAGAGTAGATCTTAAGCGTTCTTACTACACACAAAAAAGGTGGCTATGTGAGGGGAGGGATGTGTTAATTGATTGTGGTAAACACTTTACAATGTATACTTATATCAAATCATCATGTTGTACACTTAAAATATATACAATACGTATTTGTCAATTATACCTCAATAAAGCTGGGAAAAAATAAAACAAGGCAAAGATAGCACCAGTAAAAAAAAAAATCAAAGAAGAAGTCGCTGGAGCAGTCAGTCCCTAGGCTCCTGCTGTGCCGGGAGTTAACCTGTCACTGGCTGGATCCTGAGTTCCTGGGGGACGGGGTGGGGCTGCCAGAACAGGAAGACAGCAGGGCCTTCGGGGCACAGGCTATTTGCCTACAAGGACGAACATATTGTAACATTTTATAAATTGGTGCGGTTGCACAGAAGCAGCCAGGCTGAATCTCTGTTACGAGGAGAAGGGACCTGGGAAGTCCCCAGCAAGGGTGGCACTAGGATGCTTGGAAATTCGTGGATGATGAGGAGGTGACTGAGTACTGGGAAGACAAGATGCACAGAGCCGGAGGGCGACTGGAAATGCGGCTCTGCCATTTTCTGGCTGAGACGAGCTCCAGTGACCTCGTGTGGGACAAGGAGATGATAGTGGCAGTGACTCCCAAGGGAGCCGGTGAGAAAGCCGAGTGCAAAGTGCCGACCACACTGGTAAGCGGTACTGCTATTATGATTATTATTAGCATGATCATTGTTATTTTGTTACTATTGTCATTAGGAAAAGCACTGAGCAGAGAACCTGGGCTCTAGCTCTGTTCTGCCATTATCTGTGTGGCCCTGGACAAATCAACCGCTCTGACCAAAATTTTGAGTATACGAATATGTGCATTTTCTGAGGAACAGCTCCATATTTTATCAGATTTTCAAATCCTACATTTTTGAAAGGCTTACTATTTACCTCAAGTATCTGGAACCAAATTGTCTCATCCTTTATTAGGATAAATTATACTCATTATCACTATTCTGTTGGCCTTTATTCTAAAGATCACCAAATTTATTTTGTATTTCCCTCAAGGAAAATGTTACTTCAGTTTTTAAATGTTGCACTCAATATTATTTGAATATAAATCACAATACCCACTATTTCCAATTTTAAACTTTTATTTCAAATACTTAAACATACAGTTGTTAACACTCACCATAATATTAATAAGGAGTAGAAATATTGAAACATAAAAATAAGTATTGAAACAAATACTTTGTTCAATCTGGAAACATTTGAAGAAATGTTCAAATGGAAATACAGTCCCCGCATCAAATGAATTCGTTGCATCCTGGTACCCGAACTTTCCCTAATACAGAAAAAAAGAAGGCTCTCGAAAGCCACTAAGCAAACTTTACAATGATTTGTAAGAAAATAAAGTGAAGTGCAATTCCACAAAAAAGAAAAATCTCACCAAAAATGATTTCTGAGGTATATTTATGTACATTACTGTAGTTAAAGGGAAAAAGAAAATAGGGACAAATCTCTTCCTTAAAATCTCTTAACATTGAAAGAAGAGATCATCTCCCAGACAAAACTGAAGACACATACACGTCCGCCATCAAAACTCACTCACATCCCGGTGATGATTCCTTCCTCCCACCACCACCTGGGCCTCTGAATCCCGCCTCCTGGCTGTGTGGAATTTGAATTCTGTTTGATGAAGTGAGAGACACACACACTCAACCAAAAAAATCTTTATCTTCATCTATATTTTGTGAAAACAAATTGAGGCAAAACTAAACCGCAGTTCACCTGCAAGGAAAAGGAATCTTTCCTCCCACTCCTGCTTCTTTGCGCACGGTTATTAACCCCAAGGCACTTTCTGACCTCACACGGGCCATTCATCAATCTCCATCAGCCATTATCACTGGTCCCTGCAGAGCACCTTAGAGAGTTGGCTGGAACACTCACAGAATCAGGTTTCATGGGAGAAAAATGCATTGCACTTCTGAAGTCCCAGTCTATACTTCAAAAAAACAATGTTGCATTCAGTGTGGTGAATTTCCCTGGAGCATGTCACTGCATTTACAAAGGGCATTGTCAAAAATAAAACTCTCGTATAAAACCCGGGTCTAGGATATTGCAAACTCGACAATGAGAGCAAACGCAACCAAAGGCAACATTTCTACATACCAGAAGTCCTGCGGCCAGGTGCTCCCAGGGTTTATCAAGATGTGATCTGATTAAGGGATTACCAGCAAGGTTGTGCTATAGATCACACTGTTAGTCACATGCATTCAAAACAGTTCTTACAATGCTAGAAAAGGGAAATTTAATATTGGAAAGTATTTACAGTACCACCAATCCAGTAACAGGTGGAAAAGGGAAAAAATCTACAAACCAGTGCCGGCTTGCTTCAGGGAGTAGGATGATTATATGAATTTAGCTGCTGATGAGTGCAGAGACATACTGTGTGGATTAAACAGGATGAAGGGAAGGGATGTCCGAGAAGCCCTTGGTTTACAAAATGCAAAACTTAGGTTTTCAAGAAAAAATAAAATTAAAATATGTATCTGTTTTTGACAACTAAATTAGGAATGTCTTTGTAATTTATATACATTCTATATACAAAAAGCAAGAAAAACTCTTGTGCTTTTTTAATGGAAAATACTGGGTTCAACCCCCACCAAAGCACCAAATGCATCCCATTTAGGATAATGTCACTGGTGCATGTTGGACAAGTAAATTACAAAGCTCTTTGATATACTGCGTATGAAGAGTGGCAATTAGGGCCAATAAAATCAAAGGAAGAAAAGAACTAATTAACACTAACATGTCATTATGACTCGGGGAAGCATATAAAATCCCATGCCCGCTCTACATTGCCAGCTATTGGCAATTCCCAAATTCCTAAGGATGCAGACAGTAGTTTTCAAATTACTGGAGCCACCAGAGGTTTTGGGGCTCTTGGGAGCTTTAGCATCACTTTCTTCTATCAAAAGACCCAAAGCACGCCAATGACTTAAAAACTCACCCATCCCTACTGCCAAGGAATGTAATTCCAAGATTATGAACCGTGACGATCAGTTGTGGATCCTAAACAATTTATGGTTTTCGTGGTAGAAAGAACATGGAATTTGGAGACCAAAGGCCTGAGTTCAAATTCCAAATCAGGTATTTATTATCCCTGTGACTTTGGGCAAACCATTTAACCCTCTATGAAATAAGGATAATAGCAATGTTACCCCCCAGAGTTGTTGTGAGGAAAAATGAGGCAAAATAAATGTGGAAATATCCCAAGAGTGGCAAAAAAAAAAAAAAAAAAAAAACCGCCCTACAAACATGAACTCTTCTGCTGCACTATGAGCAGGTTCCATCTAAACTTAGCGGGTGGAAAAAGCACAAAGTTCCCCGCTACAAAAATCTGCGTACACTGACAGTAAACTGATCACAATAGAAAAAATAACACGTTGCAGAGGGAAAGACTCCAGGAAGCCTGGATTTAGTAAAATTGGCCCAGGTTTCATATGGAGAAAATCTGGCAGAAATTTTCAGCAAGACATTAAATCTGCTTTTACATTGTGAGCAAACCTGGATGTTAAAAGCCTCTGTGGCTTCAAGATTTTATAGAGAAGCATTTGGAGACTCTAAATTAATTAAAAAGTAAAAACAAAAACAGTTTTGGCTACTGATAGCTAAGTAAACATGTATTATCAGAAGATTTAATAACCAAGTGTAGCTAACAGTTTTATTCTAACTTCATTATTGAAAAATCCAAGATAGCAGATGACCTTCTAAATTCTTAAGGTTACAATACAGACATCCTTTAAACCCAGAAAACGACTGGTTTTCCAAAACTTTTCTGGATGGAGGGTATTTCTGCATCAAGCACCAAATGAGAAAATGCATTCAGAGCACTTTTTAAAGGTCATCGTGACGTACAAATGTAAGATATTATTATTAGAGAAATCTGAACAGCTTTTTTGAATGTCGTAGAATAAGACAAGGTATGTGAAATTTATAAAAATAAAGAATTCCACAAAAATGATATAGAAAACATTTATGTCTCAATAAAAACTCTAAGAAATTAAGGGGGAGAAATGGAAACCACAAGACAAACTCCCTTCCTGGCTTCACAGGCTCTTCTTCTTTGACAATGTGGCTGTGATTTTCACCTCACTAGTCACACACACGCACACACACAGATTTGTTCATCTCTGGTCCCTGACTGTTACTCCTGTTCTGAGTTTACTGAGCTTTGAAATAACTGATTTCTCCTGTTGCTTTTCTGAACTCCCTCAATGGCTCAAGCAACCAGCTCATCAGTTACCCATCCCTGACGTGGACTCAGCATCTGTGGCTTCTCCAACCTACCACCTCTCGGGTGGTGAAGTCCCACACAGAGGACTGAATGGTGACAGGAGAAGATCTCAATGCAACCCAGAAGGAAACTCATCCACAAAAACCAACTCCTAAGTGGCTGCCTGACTTAAAATTCCATTGAATCTTGAGTTTCCAGAGAGTCATCTGAGCCTAACGGGTCCTCTAAGCTTCCTTGTGAGTTTATGCAAAACCCAGAATTTTTCAGTGCTTTATGAGCATCCATAAACTTCTGCAGATACTTGGAGGTATACAACCAGTGATGTTTCAGGACATCTTCCATTTCATAACACTTGGACTGCCTGGCATTCATTTTCCGGAAGCGCCGGAACAGTTTGTTGCCAGACTCGTTTCCCTCGCTTGCCCATGCCCCTATGGAGCCATCCCTCTCAATAATTTCAGGGACGTGTGCCAGGGTTTTGTGAAAATAATTGGTGATTTTGCCCTCATACCGATACTTGAACTTGGTAGAGAGGAGCTCAGCAAAACGCTGTGAATTGAAACTATACTGGCAGAGGGATTCTGGGCACTCCTTAGCCGGGCATGATGAGCGCCAGACGGGCTTCATCTTCAGGTAAAGGTCCATTAGCTCCTTCAGAGCTTCGTGCCTCTCCCGGGAGGGAATTAATTCACAAACTGCTTCAACAGTCTCTTTGGTCATGAGCTTCCTGGCAAAGTTGCCATTCATCCTCATGATTGGTTTCAGGTTCATCTTCTTCCGGAGATGTTTGTCCAGCGTAGCCTGCCATCTTTTCCTTTCCTCTTTGGAGGCATTGGGGTTCTTATACACCTCCCCAATCTCTAGCTGGAAGATCTTGTAGAACTCAGCTGCATTGCCAATGTCGCAGTGGAGCGCATCTATGGAAGGGACTGTCTCGATGAAGGGCTTGGCGGAGACCCCTTTCACCCGATCCCGCAATTCTTCCACAGACTCATGGTATGGGTTGGAACGCCAGACCTCATAGCGCTCCAGGTTCTCAGCGTGGCTTCTGGTTATGGAGTGGAAGACAAGATTTTGAGAGGCTTCCAGGCGGGTGGCATCACAAAGGGTACAGATGTAGACCGAGCCGGAAGCCTCAAGGCCTTCCACTTCCCGGACAAGTTTCTCATCATAGCCCGTGCCCCGAAAGATGAACTGGAAAGTGCGGAGGATGCCTCCCATCTCAAGCATTAATTCGCTGTCCTTCATGGCCTCCCGCTCAGCAATGAGAGGGCTCAGGATGGCCGTCAGAGTCTCGTGGTCAGATTCATCTGCCAGCATAAGGCACAAGGGCTTGCAACACAGCTCAGAGTTAGGTTTGGCTTCCTCAAACACCTTCACATTCTGTGAGCCATGTGCTATAGTAATTTTCATGATTGTGAATGAAAACCGAACTGCCTTTTCCGGAACGGCTGGCCCACTGCCGTGCTTCTCACTCACGTCTCCCATCCCGTCACAGGACTCCTTCACCACCACAGTGAAGGGGCCGTTCAGGTAATCGTCAAGCTCTTGGGCTCTCATGCCTTCCAGGATGTCTTCTTCCATGTCCATCAGAGCAGACACCAAAGCCGAATCGTAGCGGAACCGCTTCGCAATGGTGTCCACCGGGTAATCGTCCACAGACGAGGACAGTCCAGACAATCCGTCAATAATGCCAACGTCAGTGTTGGAGGACACGTTCTTCAGAGGGGGCTGCCACTCAAAGGGGTGGTAGCCCGGCAGAAGGACCTTTTCAGCGTTCCGGAGGGCATGCAAAGGCTGAAAAATCTGCCTCCCCGTGATGGCTTTGACAGTCCTGTACATTTTGTGGTACTGACTGCAGCTGAGGAAGGTGTTGACGCGGATGGCCAAGCAAACCGCTGGCTGCAGGCCGGAGCCCCGCCCCTGCATGATGGCCTCCAGCTCGTCGGCTTGTCTGTGCTCATTCCTCGCCCGCAGCGCCAGCAGGAACAAGGTCAGGCACACAGACTTCACATCTCCTCCTTCTTCTTTGTCGGCAAAAGCCTTGACTTGCAGCTTGAGCTCCCTCAGACGGTGCTTCTGAGCCCTCCGGGTCAGTGACAGGAGATGCTGGCGGGGCCGGCCCCCTTTATTAATATGCACAAAAGTCTCTTTCGATTCCTTGTGGCTTGAGACATGGTGATTATATTTTTCCAAGCTGACCTCCTCATTGCACTCTTCTGCTGGACATTTCACCATGAGGGAATTCAGGATGCTCAGAAAGGACTTCACGGGACTCTCCAGGTCAGTGGGGAAGCAGGGATATCGGCAAGAGGGACAATAGCTGCCCATGACTTTGAGGCATCTGAGAATGCAGATCCTGCAAAATACATGCTTACAGCTGGTGACCACAGGGTCAGCCAGGATGTGTTCACAAATCTGGCAGGAGATAGATTTCACAAAGTACGCCGGGAAGTCCACTGCAAGGAGCTTGGTGCTAAGATGGATCTTACTGCAGTTGGTGATCTTCTTCAGCACTCCCTTGCCGCTGATCCTTGCCTGAGCTCTCCTCTTGTGCTGACGGGCCTGCCTCGCTCGGTCAACCGCAGTTTTGAGTTTTTTGCTGAGCTGCACATTTGGCTGATGACTCTTCCTCTTGAGTCCCTGACGGGCAGTGTGGCAGATGTCACAGGACGGGGTGTGGGGGTGCCACTCCATGGTTGCGTTCTTCGGGAAGTAAACCTCACATGGAGCACTGCTAAACTTCCTGTGCATGATGCTCCAGCAGTTATGGCAGAACTCAGTGGGGTGGATGGAGTCAACATCGGCTTTCACATCGATCCGGAAAACCTTGGCAATGAGGTCGGGCCAGGAAGTGGCTCTCTTTTCCTTCTTTCGTAAAAGCACTTGGGTTTTGCCATCCACAGGCCCGTGGACTGGATATCTCCTATTGTGCCCATCAGTTTTAAAAGAATTCCCACAGATGCGGCAGAGATGTCGAAGGCTGGCTTGGTGGATGGCTTTCTCTCTTGCTTTCCCATCATCATGGGATTTCTTCAAAAACTTAGGGTGAGGCTTTACTGCTGGTTGAGTCAGGACTGGTTTCTGACCACCAGCCTTATCCAGGACTGCTGGAGATTGCTCTAGAGAGGGTTTCCCCTCAGAGGAATCTTTTTCCTTTTGAGCTTCTTCAGGTGCCTTTTCAAAGGATCTCACCCTGAATAGCTTAAATTTCCATTCGGAAAATTTAATATGTGGATGCTGGATTTCATCTGGGGCAGAATTGAGTCCCAGGGTGGCTGTCAAAGAGACAGCCATGCTGGCTGAGGTATCTGAGAACAAAGAAAGCAAGTCAGATTAGGAAAAAATGTCAATATCCCACAGATACATCTTGGAAAGAATACAAATTAATACATTGAATTATTCATTCATTCATCCAAAAAGTTAGTTATGAAACCTCCAATTTAATATACTGTGTTAGGTGCTGATCATACAGCAGAGAACAGAGTCACGTCCTGTTCTGATAGTGCTTGTGGTTATTTATAGCTTGTATCTCAGTACATGCGCCATCATGGCTTTTTTACATATATATATGTAAAATCTTATTTCCTTTTCACCAAAACCTTAAGGACAGAATCTTTGAGTGATTCATGTCTGTCTCCCAAAGCTTCCTAGAACATATCAGGTGCTCAATAGTTATTTGCTGAGTAAATGCAAGGAAAAACTGGCTTCTAAAACCAAAGAAAAGTCGTATTTTCCACATTGTATTAGCCTCATTGCACTAGCCAGACAATGTATTTCCAGATTTTTAAAGCAGTCTCCTGGGAGGTTGGTTGTCTATTTCTTCTAAACAGGTCATAAAAGGATGATAAAGCTACAAAACCAAAGGAACTAATTACTTACTACTTGAAAGAATGAAGTGAATTTTGAGCTTTATGAATGCAAACTAATAATAAGTATCATGGATAGTAATTATGCTTACAATGTTAATTAATGAACGCTGCTGTAAATTATAAAGCTGTGTCTCCATTAGAAACAAAAACCAAAGAACTCTCTAAACCTGCAACAAACCATAGCATGCACATGCGAAGACCCAAAGGACTTTAAAGATGAAAAATTCAAGTAGTTCCAGATAAAACTCACACAGGCCATCCTGGAAGTCATTACTGGGCAATGGTCATGAGCACTATCATTTGCAATAAGAAGAGGTCAGAGTAATATTTTTCTTCTGGTAAAAAACATTAGCAATTACAGATGCCGGGAAACCCTACCAATCTGGGTTGCAGTATAGACAGCAATAGTGCTATAGGGAAAAGTCTGAAAATGCCACTGAGTCCTCCCTAGACCCAAGTAGCCCAATCTTCTCCAAGTTCTTTAGTACGTGTAGCTGAAAAAACGGCAATGTACTTTCAACCTAGCATCTTTATCTCTCAAATTTCTCTGGGTTAATGCTCTTCACCCACGATAATATCAAGCAACACTTTTCTCCCCTCAGTTAATTAACTAACCAAATTGATGAGCTTTGTTCTGCTTTGTTTTGTTTTTTTGTGTGTGTCAGGTGGTCATGGAGACCAATCCTCAGAAGAACACACTTTGGTTCGGGGTGGGATCTGGGGAGCTGGTGGGGAGGGGACGGGCTAACCCTGACTGCTGCCGACACAGTTCCTTTTTAAACCCCCCCTTTAAAGGACTGAAGTTTGTTCCATCTTCCGTGCATTATGCTTCAGAGATGGATGTTTTTCCTAAGAACAAAAAGCCAATTTCCAAGACTTGGTTAAAAAGGAAATCCCGTTAGATTGTTCCATAGGCAGGACTGTGTGAGAAATAAACAATTCCAAACCATTTCAAAGGTTTCATTAACCTCAAAAGTATTTCAACTGTAGCCCAACAAACACTTCAAATTGCTTGTGGTTCAGCTGTGTTCCTAAATTCTTTCCTGTGTCGGGTATGAGGACTGTCTGTGTCTCCCCTGCCCCATTGGCTTGAACTCATTCCCAAATGCCCTCTTCATTCCTTTAGCCTTTCTCTTCCCTGTCTTTTTCTAATGCACTTGTTCTCTGGAATTCCAAAATAGTCAAAGTAGTTACAAAAAACTGCATGACCATCTCTGGAGCTAATCAAGTTGAATATTGAACGAACTTCACAATGCGTAAGTGAACACGCATGTTGGAAGGATCCCTACGGCTATCTCCCCTCCCTACCCACTCCTCTCCTGCCTCCTACTGGCCTGAAATGTTATGATAAATCTACCAAAGTACATTTATTTAAATACTCCATGGAAAGAGTGCCATCACCAAGCAGTTATTAGCCCTAGACATCCAAATCAGATTTACTCAGCAGGTTGCTTTCTAATCAACTCAACTGATAACGTTTATGGAGTGTAGAAGCAAGGGGGTGGCAGAGTGGGTAGGGAGGAAGGTGTTATTCTTGTTTTTAGGGGAGCGTACACCACGATGCTAATAGTAATTATCTGTGGAAGCTATAGATGTTTTATATTTTTTATCCTTGCCCATGATTTTCACTTTTTCTAAAATAAACGTGTTACTTTTAGAAGAAGATAGAACTTTTAAGAACCAGATCTAATGAAATATTTTTAGCTATCTGATTAGCAAAGATTGAAAGTATTCATATTACTCAACATTCATTAAGGTGTGGGAAATGAAGATATCTTCATGCATTCTTGAGAGGAGTGTAAATTGGTATACTACCTTTAGTGGACAATTTAGCAATATCTTTCAAAAGGTTAAATATATATGATCTTTGCTGCAATGTATCTGTTTTTAGGAAGTTATTCTATAGAAACATCCCCACAGGTTATTCCTGTGGGAATAAACACTCCACAGGTTATTCCCACAGTGATGTTTATATGGAGAGCGACAGAGAGAAGGAGATTTGTCTTAAAAAAATTGTTCATTACTTTGAAAAATAGGAAACAGCACAAATAATCATGAATAGGGCATTATTAAATAAACTATGGTCCAGATATACGATGGACAACAACACAGAAATTTTAAATGTCTATAGGCATCAATGATACAGAAAGATGCCCCCGTGACAAAGCAGAGAACAGAACAAGAGCAAATCTAGTAGCATCCCATTTATGCCTATTTGTTCACTTTTGCATATCCCTGAAAGTAGAGAGATTCTGGAAAGATATGCACTAAAATCTTAACAATGTTTACTCTCTAGAAAATCGAATTGGCCCTGATAAAAATATCTCTTTGATTCTCTATTTTATTAATGTTTGTATCATTTGAATTTTTGACAACAAATGTATTATTTTTAAAGTTTTGTGATCGATTCACTTTAGGGAAAAATGTTTTAAAGACTAGATTTATATGTACCCATGAACTCTTTTCCGTATTTCTTCCTAAGTTTTCCCCCAGAAAAGCTGAAGTTCTGGCTAAGCCTCAAATCTGACCACCATCCTTCACTTGGCTTTCTTTTCTAGTAAACATGGAGAAAGGGGACTAAAATATAGGCCTGCAGGCAGCGTGGAGTTCAGGTTATGAAAGAGTTATCTTGTAGTCATTTCTTGACGCTCAAGAATCTTGCAAATGCTTGATCTGCTCTTTTCTAACAAAAGGACTCCGCAGCAGAGTGCCTGCCGCTGGCTCAGCCCTGCTCCGTCGGGCACTGTCATCTCAGCATTGCCGTCCCCTGACATCACAGCCACAGGGCTCTTTCTCTCCACAGGGCACAGATGTGTTTTGATAAACTAGTCTGGAGTTTGCATGGGGCAGAAGCTACAGTTTGTGGTGAGCGTATGACCAGTTGGGCCACAGAAGCAGCACCACCCCCATCCCAGCCCAACCCACCCCCCGACACACACACATACATCCTGGTACTCGGCCCGCAGTCTCCCCTCTTACATCTTCAACCTGGTCTACACACAATGTCAGGTGACCACAGTGTGCCCAAGCGGGACCCCTTCTGGTCACACCTGTCCCACCCATTCATTCATTCACTCCACAAACACTATTGTTTACTATTTGCCAAACACCATCATCAAAAAGTGACAGCATCAAAAGCCTTTTGATAAGCCTCAAAGAGGCACAAAATGACCCCAAGATTCTTGCCCTTCCACCAAGCGATTTCTTGCTTGAACCGCTTTTAGAAAGAGAAATACACAGTCACAACCTTGTCTGGAATCCTGGCTCAACAACAACCTCAAAGCAGGGTGTCAACAGTGGCAATTCTCAAAATTAGTATGTGTCAGAATCACTAGGGAGCTTGTGTTTAAAAAAAATTATGCAGATTGTCGGGTCCCAGGGAGTCTGATGACGTTTGTCGGGGATGGAATCCAAAAACTTGTTTTTTAACGAGCATTCCAGTGATCCTGTTATGAGTGGCCCACAGGTTACACCTTGAGAAATACTGGTCTCCTACTTAGTCCAATTGAGTTCAGGGGATTCCTGGTGACACGGGCAATCCCTGGGAAACTAGATATTTCCTCTCACTCCACAATTGGTTTGTTCTTCATTATTCCTCTTGCCTGGCCCAGCTCAGTATTTCTTTCCAAGAGTAACACCTTTCCTTCTGCTGATTTATTTACTCATTCATTCAAGAAGCACTCCTTAAACCCTTCCTCTGCCTCCAACATTTATTTACAGTAATTTGGATATTTTGCCTCTTCTCTATGAACCTACACTGTCTTCCTAAATGTGGCCTGTTGTTCCTTTTCTATCTTCATACGTTAGAAAGAAAAACTAAATTGATGCCAGCTTCCTTCACTCCCTCCCCTCAGCCCCTGCAAGGAAAAAAGCCCAAGTACTTCTGATTAGAAATATAAAAATGCAATAAATATTGTGGCTCAAGGCATGAAAAGTTGCATGTTACCTTGCTCAGCAGGCTGCCTGGGCACAGTGTGGGGATGTCTGTAATTCGGTTGATATGACTTGATACCAAAGGGAAGACAAAGTGTGCTCTCCTCGCCCTCCTTGCTCTCTTGTCTCTCAGAGCGGACTGCTGCATTATTTATCAGCCTCTGTTGTCCTTCCCAGCCTCCCCGACCACGGAGGGCTAACCACAAATGATGGCAGCCAATCAGAGGCCAGGAGCCCCCCGGCTCCAGCTGGCACCTGGCTCTTCAGGAAGCTTAGCTGGGGGGCCTGAGTGTAGAATCATGCTGGAGCATTGCCAAGCTGCCAGTTCACTCCCCGAGATGGTTGGGTTGGAAATGATCTTGTCAACATAAGCTCTGACTTCTGCCGAGGTTCTATAGCTCTGTGCCTCAGTTTCCTCATCTGTAAGATAGAAACACTAATAGTATATACCTCAAAGAATCAGTGAGGTTATACAGTGAGAGTTATTATAGGACAATACTTGGAACAGGGTCTGCCCTTAGAAGATACTCATCGAATACTAACGATACAATAACTTTATTATTGTTTTGAAATGGCATCGGAACCACCCCAGAATCCTTCTACAGGGTCAAATCTCAGGCAGGGGAAGTTGTGCTCCTTGCGACAGCACTGCGTTTAAACATCACTAGAGTCTGAAGTCATCAGACCTGGGTTCAAATCTTGCCTCAGTTCTTTGATACGTTACCTAAACTTTCTGAGTCCCAATCTCATCATCTACAACATAGGATTGACAATATTAGCCCCTACTTATTGAGAGCAATAAGCCAGCCTTCTAAGCTTTACATATCATTTAATTGTCGCAACAATCCTGTGCATTCAATGTTCCTATCTCTAAAGAGCAACAGAAGTTTAGAGCCATGGGGAGCGTGCCCGTGGTCACACAGCCACTACACGTGAAGGTGGGGCAGGGTCTAACTTAGATCTGCGTTCTTAGCCACTCCACTATACTATAAAAGGAGAATATTGAAAGGCACCTGGTAGCAATAGTGTGAGGATAACTGAAAAATGAACTTCTGTGTACCTACCACTATCTGTTTCAAATCCCCTGTGTAATTCTTACACCAGCTTTCTCCCCAAAGTTCCCCTGTGTTCGGCTAATATGTGAGGGATTGCCTTGCTTTCAATTGATCCTCAGCAAAAACTGTCACAGAGGCAGGTGCAAGGATTTCTCTGTGCTGTGCTGCCCTTTTCAGACACTCTACACTATTTTGCATTTGGGCCTGTCCAACCACCCAGCAGTCCCAGGGCCACACCTTCTACTCAGTACGCTAAAGACAGAGCAGAGCCATCGCGATAATATCGGGAGAAGGGGAACTGGCCTGTGGCTTCTAGGAGCTTCAGTGTGTTTATGCCCAAGGGGATGGGGCCTCCACCTGAGGCTCACATGATGTTGTGAGACTGGGCAGGTGGGAACAGAATATTTCCTGGAGACAGTGGCCATGTTCAAATCAGCAGGCAGCAGAGCCTCCAGGATGTGCCTTGACGTCCTCTTCATATGGTGGGGTCACAACATGGCTGACATGGAAGAAGATCTACCTTCCCATCCATCCTCCTGTGCTCCAAACGCTGTATGTCCACTGGACTCACAGAAAGAGAAAGAAAGGGCCAGATATTCTTGTTTCACCTTGAAGGAAAGACGGAAACAATAATATCTCGCAGAATTGCAACCAAGGAGCAAGTCACATCTTCAAGGGTCAGCCTTCAGTTCCATACACTCGCTGAGAATTTAAGAGAATCTAGGATGGCCTACTGTTCGTCTTCACCCAGCACCTTCCTGGGTACAGCCCAGAAAGTCCAAGGCAAACAAGGTCAGCTGGTCACCCTTCAGCCCCAAACCAGAGCTGGGAAATTTCTCTGAGCTCAAAAATTCAAAAATGGAGTCCTTTTCAATTTTTCCTGGGGAAGTTAGATATTCCAAGAGACTCAGGGAAGAGCATGTCCCAGGCCTTGGGGGCAGTCGCCTGAGAGTCAGACTGGATATTAGAGCTTTCTCTTTCTCTTTCTCTCTCTCTTTTTTTTTTTTTTTTTTTTACCATATTTACCATAGATTTTTGTATTGTTTGATTTTTTATTGGTCAGATATTACTTTTATAAACAGAAAAAACCCACAAGATTTACAAATAAATAAAAATATTAATAATGAATTTTAAATGAGAGAATAAAATGTTGGATGCATATGAAGATACACTCTTCTAATTGTTTTGTTTTATAAAAGTCTGGATTTACATACATCAGATTCTTCCAGGGCAGAATTTCCAGTAGTTTCTTGTTCTTCCCCATTACACCTTGGGGCCTCTTTCTCCCATCCATGTTGAAATCATGTTGCTGTCGCCTGTCCCCTGCTGAGAGATGAAACTTCCATTAGATCACCAAGAAAACCATGCTGAGTGATGAACTCTTGTCCTTTCTCCTGGCCACTAAAATTTCACCCACTATTCTTCTTTCTAATCTTTTCCATGTGACAAACCCCACCTTTGACTTCCGTCATAAAACAGCAAAGTCAGAGCTGCCTGGGATCCCACATTGCTCCAAGCAAATTAAAAATGAAACCCTGCTAATGGATCTTGGCCAAATGTAGCAAGAGGAAAAGCATGAAAAGGGCAAACCAGAGTTTAGAAGATTCGATGCCAGATTCCAGCCTTGAGCACAGCCCTCCCGGCTGAGTGATTAGCTATGGTTAATTCTGGAAGCGCCAACAGGCCCAGCTCCCTCTGGACAGTGCACCGTGCTGCCCCTCCCTTCATCTGCCTCTCCATCTCAGCCCTAAACCCTCCTTACCAGGTTCCCAGACTTATTCCCCTTGGCTCCCTGCAAGCCCTTTTAAGAGACCTTTTCAAATTCAATTTCTTCCCAGACAGCCATGAGCTCCAGTTGCTGACAGCAATCAAAATCTACTCCTGAGGCCGGTCCGTGGTCTGAGTGTGTAAACTCTGCATTTTGTGCTCTTATCATAATCCAGCAGATGCTGTTTACTGACACCGTGATTACATATATAAGCGTGTATCTATATATCTTCAACTAGCAAAACTCTTGTCTTCTGACATCACCAAATTGAATGCCAGAGCTAGAAGAGAATTTAGAGGTTATTGGACCCAACGGGTGCATCTTATAGGTGAGAAACAGTCCTCGAAGGGCAAAGTGTCCTGTTCAATGTCAGAGGAGGGAACTAGTAGAAGAAATAGCATTGCAAACCTGGCCTCCCAGGTCCCAAGACAAGAGTCTTGCCGCTACACTGAAAAGGGAGTGTCCCTCCGCCTCCCACCCCCAGGCCACTTTGCTTCTCTTAGCCTGGAAAAGAACTTCAGTTGACAACAAGAGAACCTTAAGGGTAACAGGTCGTTGCTAGCAGAGAGCCGCCCATGCTAGCGCAAACTCGCCCCGCGGCTCTGGGAGTACTGAGCCCGCGTCCCCACGCGCTCGTTTCTCTCCCACTTCCCCAGTCTTGAATTGCTTTCTAATTAACTCAATGTGGATTATTTCTGTTAGCAAATTTTCTAATGCGTTATTAATTGCTCTAAACGTCAGCTGCAGCTCGTTTCCCGCAAATTCAAGAGTGCCACAGCGGGCTTTCTGACGTGAGGCTCTTTTCTAAACTACTAGTGCCATCGTGTGGGCAAAAAAGTCTCTATCATTGAGAAAGACAAAGTCTCAAAGTCATTGAATCCATGAAGGAGTCACCAGTTTGGTTCTCTTCTCTCCTCCCCTTATCCTAACTTCTATCCCCTCCACCATCGTCTTCCTCTGTAGGAACCCCCCATCATTCCTATAGACTAGGAAACAGCACCGAAGCTTAGATGGTCAAAGTAACTTGCTAAAGACCCCACATGTAGTTAACTCCAGTCTGCCACTAAAGTCAGGGCTCCAACATGCAACTCTGGTCTCACTATTTTGCTACTGCTCACTGGTCCCAGAAAATATGCAATAAATGCCCTCTCCTCATTCCTCAAACATTTGAAGACATGAGGAGTCTGGGGAACTGAGAAGTGAGGTCCAGTGTTCAGGACTCTACTAGACATCTTTCTAGTTTGAAGACGTCTGTTCCTTCTCCACACCCTAACAATAGAAAAGCATTGCTTCGCCTTCTCGTCCTATTTAGCTGTATAGGGTGTAAGCAGAGTTCAAACATCTGTGTAGGACGAATTCGTTTTGAATTTCTCAGGGCTGCAATTCAGGCTTGGGAAGTGAGCTTTCTCAAGCCTGGAGTAAACGTAGTGGCCTGAAATGACTAATTGCAGGACAGTAAATAGACATCTTTACAAAAATCCAAACTGGGCAACCATCCTAATCTACAGTCTAGGGGCTCCCAAAATTTCACAGTCATTTTGGAGGTTGAGAAGGAGATAGTTTTGAAAGAAAGGGGCTTTAATTGTGATTTAACTGTGTTTCTATCAATAGTTACTGTGTGGCTTAATTTTCTATATAATGAGAGCAATTGCTAAGTTTTTAAATAAATTTTAATTAAAAACCATATTCTTTTTCAACTTGTGAATTGTGGTTCTGGAGAGAGATGGAAAGCTAGAATCAGCTTCTAATTATTTTTGTGCAAAAATTTGCTACTGGATTGTCTGTAACATGTTTCTCAAAAAAATAGTTTATAATTTACTGTGCGATTTAAATGCCGATGTTGTTATAAATTTTTCTTGGGACATTTCTCCCAGTCAAACAAAGGGTTCAGTTTCCAAATGCAGATAAAATTCCTCTTTGCCATTATTATGGGAAAGAGAAAAGTCTGTATCTTTATTTCCACATCTGGGGATGGCCACTTGTAGTAATAACTTATTTAGTATTTCATTACATAAGTTTCTATAAAGATCAATCTGGATTCTACTGATTCCTGTCTACATGGCAATTTTAAAAAGTGACTTTGCTTTGTGACAAATAAGGAGAGACCAGTTGAGTTGAATTCCAGCTGGGGTTTGCTGTTTTCTGTAATATTCCATCAAAGAAGAATTTGCCTTCATTCTCTTCAGGCCTCTCTCACATGTCCAGCACCCTTAACCCCCAAAAGTAAAACCACCAACCACAACAAAAAAGTACAATTATCTTTTTTTCTTTTTTGCAGCCATGAGCGTTAGCAGCCAGTTCTTCCAGCGGCTGAGGGATGGGTGCACTTGCCAGTAAAAGTTACCAGGGATAGATCAGAAGCCAACTTTCTGAAGACATGGTAGTTCTCACATCAAATAGGACAAGACATAAAAGTGTATATTTTGTGGACCAAACCCTGCAGCTGCCCTCCTCACACGTTAAGGGGTTGTCCCAGCTTGTCAGGGTCCTGTCAGCATCCTGAATCATTTTGGCTGCAACATCAAGTAAGTAACCAAGTTTACACGGAGTCAGTGGATTGAGAGGCAGTT